TGACCCAGGTGTGTACCTGTTAGTGACTCAGGTGTGTACCTGTTAGTCACCCAGGTGTGTACCTGTCAGTGACTCAGGTGTGTACCTGTTAGTGACCCAGGTGTGTTCCTGTTAGTGACCCAGGTGTGTTCCTGTTAGTGACCCAGGTGTGTTCCTGTTAGTGACCCAGGTGTGTTGCTGTTATTGACCCAGGTGTGTTCCTGTTAGTGACTCAGGTGTGTACCTGTTAGTCACCCAGGTGTGTACCTGTCAGTGACTCAGGTGTGTTCCTGTTAGTGACCCAGGTGTGTTCCTGTTAGTGACCCAGGTGTGTTCCTGTTAGTGACCCAGGTGTGTTCCTGTTATTGACCCAGGTGTGTTCCTGTTATTGACCCAGGTGTGTTCCTGTTATCGAGGCAGAAGGCTGCTGTATTCTGGCAATGAGCTGCAGTGCGGCAGTTGATGGTGACAGGAAGAAGAAACAGAACGTGGACACTGTGTGAGGTTCTGAAAGCTTCTCTGCAGTAAATCAGAACCACAGCTCATTAGGGTCAGACATGAAGGTTTGTTCTTCGTCTTTTCAATGTAAAACGGGATCAAATTTGAACCGTGTTTGGGTTCAAAGCAGGGATTTTCTTCTGCTGCTCTACAAAAAACTAAGTGCATCAACCACAGCACTGTGCAAAAGTCCTAATCTAATCCAGATCCAGTTTTCTGATCCAACTCGTTGATCCAGACATGATCTAAACCCCTGACTCAGTCCTGATTCTGATGGCTGACCCAGTTCTGGTTCAGCCGGGTCCCTCTAAACTTATGAGCTATTTTTAACTAGATCTCCTGCATTTATCCCCGTATGATGGGTTTACTGAGACAGACGTTCTGGTGGTTCTGATTCTAGGACAGTGCAACAGAAAAGGAAAGGTTTAAAGAACCATTATCAGAGAAAAGGAGGGATGACAGGAGGAGGAAAAGGAAAGTCCTTTACAGCTCGGTTTGACTTTAACAGGCTAATTGGAGTAAGACTGTAAAATAAAGTTACTGAGCGAACTGACAAGTGAGACTAATTAGATTAGGAGGGTAAAATATATTTACTGACAGAAGAAACCAATTAAAATAAAACATAAAATATATTTACTGACAGAAGAAACCAATTAAAATAAAACATAAAACATATTTACTGACAGGTGAAACCAATTAAAGTAAAAATAAAAAATATATATACTGACAGGTGTCTGACCTGCAGACATGTTTTTTTCTCCCAAACAGGAGCAAAGAAGCATTTAGAGAAACTCTCGTACTGATGAACTGGAAAACACAAAGCTGTCAGAACCGAGACTGGGCCAGAACCTGAGGAGACATCAGAGTTCAGCCAGTCCAAACGGAGCCCACCTCACTGCAGTCTGAAGTACAAGAGTCAGATGAGACCAAAATCCAACTCTCTGAGACCAACTCAACCACCACGTTTGGAGGAAGAAGAAGAAGTTGATTAGCCCTCCTGCTGCCCCTTGGCTCATTTTAACCCTCAAGCAGCAGGGGTTTTATGAACCTGGGGCCTCATGTACTCACATGGACATCCTATCGAAACATGGCGCACGCTTAAATCAAGAGAATAGTGTACGCATGAATCCAGCACACTTCCTGTGCACGTCCCAGTAAACGTGGAATTGAGTGCACATGACGGAATACCTGACTCTTCCCTCGACACACCTCCATCTAAATATGTAAATAGATTTAAATCTGCCTGCACCTGAAGAATCTGTTCTCTGCACCATCTTAAAGAACAAGAGGAACTTCACAGAATGTGAGTTGGAGACTCTTCTAAATGAAATGGAGGCTCGTAGACCGCTCCAAGACCGGCTGCAGCTCCAAGAACAGTTCCAGAAGATTGTCCTTGGAAGTCTAAAACGTCTTATGATCCAGTCGTCATCGCGGTCCAGAACATCCTCTCTGTCTCTAAATACATGCTCTCTTTGTATCGCTCCATTTGTTAAATCCTCTAATAAGACTAAAGAAGTTGTTAAAGGTATTTTATATCCTCTCCTCTAATTTATACATGTGGATGTATTAATTGTTCATCATGTGTGGTTGGTGTGCAGTGCACAATTATAGTTTTCACATCAAGTTTCCCAGCATGACCTCTATGTGTCACCAATGGACCAGTAACCATAGAAACGTGCGTACGCCAGTTACCATAGAAACGTGCGTACGCCAGTTACCATAGAAACATGTGTACAGCAGTGACCATAGAAACGTGTGTACGCCAGTAACCATAGAAACGTGCGTACGCCAGTTACCATAGAAACGTGTATACACCAGTAACCATAGAAACGTGCGTACGCCAGTTACCACAGAAACGTGTATACGCCAGTAACCATAAAAATGTGTATACGCCAGTAACCATAGAAACGTGTGTGCACCAGTTACCATAGAAACATGTGTACACCAGTGACCATAGAAACATGTGTACTCCAGTAACCATAGAAACGTGCGTACGCCAGTTACCATAGAAACGTGTGTATACCAGTGACCATAGAAACGTGTGTACACCAGTTACCATAGAAATGTGTAAACGCCAGTAACCATAGAAACGTGCGTACGCCAGTTACCATAGAAATGTGCTTACACCAGTTACCATAGAAACGTGTGTACACCAGTAACCATAGAAACGTGTGTACACCAGTAACCATAGAAACGTGAGTACACCAGCCATGAGGTTGGCGTGGGGCTGCATTAATTTCATTCTTGAAACATCTGAAGCATAAAAAACGGCGCACACCACGTTTTTGTGCGTGCACACTCTTTGTACATGTAGCCCCAAGTGGTTTGATTTTCAACTTTTATGGGATTGTCAGGAAGTTCAACAAGAGCAGCACAGTCCAAACCCAACTATGGTTCTATGGTTACCTTTTTTTCTTTTTTTAACAGAACCAAAGTTCTCCAGTAGATTTGCTTTAATGTAAAACAAACAGAACCATCTCCTCAGTCCTACTGGGCCCAGCACCAGGGACCAGGCCCACTGGTCCAAAGAGAATAAAACATACCCCAGTTTCTCTCCGTCCACCAGGATCCGGACCAGGATTCCAGTAACAGCCACAAGGATCGGGTAGTGGTCCACACTCTCCAAGCCTGCAGTTAAACAGACAGAACCAACGTCAGAACCAGGTACCAGATACAAACTGCCGGTCTTTAATGACCACCTATCTGCTTTAATTTTTCTGTTTTTAAATGTAAAGCAAAGGTCAAAGGAAAAGTTTACAAACGGTGGTGAGACCAGTTATGTTGTATGGTCTAGAGACAGAGACATGGACAAAAAAAACAGGAGACAGAGACATGGACAAAAAGACAGGAGACAGAACTGGAAGTGGCAGAAATGAAGATGTTGAGGTTCTCCTTAGGAGAGACAAGGATGGATAAGATTAGGAATGAGATCATCAGAGGTACAGCACAGGTTGAACAACTGAGAGATAAAGTTAGAGAGGACACACTGAGATGGTTTGGACATGTCCAGAGGAAGGACAGTGGTTTGGACATGTCCAGAGGAGGGACAGTGGTATATTGATAGAAGGATGTTAGAAATGCTGCTGCCAAGAAAAAGACAAAGAGGAGATCTATGGATGCAGTTAGAGAGGACATGGAGGTAGTTGGAGTGAGGACAGAGTGAGATGGAGGAGGAGGACTCTGTGGAGACTCCTGAAGAGGGAACAGCTGAAAGAAGAAGCTTTAAAACAAAAACTGACCTGATCAGAGACTAAACAATCTGAGAATAAATCATAAAAACCTCAAGAGGATGATCAGTTCCTCCAGAAACCCCCTAGATTTTGTTCACTCTAAAACCTGCAGACCAGACTGTGAGACCCTGCAGACCGGACTGTGAGACCCTGCACACCGGACTGAGAGACCCTGCAGACCAGACTGAGAGACCCTGCAGACCGGACTGTGAGACCCTGCAGACCAGACTGTGAGACCCTGCAGACCGGACTGAGAGACCCTGCAGACCGGACTGAGAGACCCTGCAGACCGGACAGAGAGACCGTAGAACATGAGTCTACTGAAGTGGTTCTGATGAATCCGGACCGATCATCACGAAGTTTGAAGAAGAACCTGAAGATCGGACTGAGCTCACTGCTTCTCTCCTCCCAGAACCTGAAAACCAGAACCTGAGGCTAAAAGTTGGGACCAGTTCTGCTTCAGTCCCTGACCCTGAACAAGGACCTGGAGCTCAGAGCGCACCAGAACAAACGGGTCTGGGTCAGGAAGTGTTCGTACCTGGCAGCCTCAGGTTGACAACCCGATCAAAGAGGTTCTTCTCAGCCGTGACTCGGTTCAGCACCTGGTTCAGGAGCTGCAGACAGAACAGGAAGTCCTCATGAGTCACAACCAGAACCACAAACTGTCCAAAACTCACTGATCAAGAGTCCTGATCTAGTCCTCAGTTCTTAAGTCCCCCACTGGTCCAGTTTCATGAAGACACACTACACCCTGAAGTTCTGAAGTTCTTCCACTAAAAATGATCCAGAACCAGGACCTGAGGACCTTCAGAACGTCTGGAGAACACCGTAAAGGATCACAGGAAGGAAAACACACGAGAAGAGAACTGGACTGATAGTTTTGGATCAAGTGTTCTCATCCAAGTTCTGATCAGAGGTTATAGATCTGGAGTTTTAGGTTGGGAGCTTCAGATAGGAAGTTCTAGATAGGGAGTTCTGGATCAGAAGTTCTGGACCTGAAAGTATTATCACGTGTGTCTGGAGGAGAGGTTCTGGTGTCTTTTGGTCTTCTCCAAAGACCAGAACTTAAATCCAGAACTAAAACTAAAACCTGGATCTCGGATCAGTTCAGGGAATGTTTCCATCCAGAACTGGTCCGGTACCTCAGGTGTTCTCAAAATGTTCAACAGCAGCAGAACCTGACCCACAACGGTTCTGCTCAGAGGACCTTGATGAGCTCAGCTGGGTCTGACCTGAGCGAGTCGCCTCAGCAGCAGCTCCGCTGACGGACGGGACCAGTCCAGGAAGATCTCCGGTACCAGAGTGACGGTCATCTCCAGAACCCGCAGCAGGCTGACGGACAGGTCGAAGCACGTGGCACACACCTGGTTTCACCAAAGATCAGAGTTACCACAGAGCCTACAACAGACAGAACCAGAACCACGCTGAGCATGAAGTAAATACCTTCAGCTGACGAGTGTCCACAAAGTTCCTCTCAGGACGTTCTGCTGCCTGCTGGATCTGAGACGGACCACATAGTCCAATTAGTTTCAGAACCACAACACTTCATGGTCCAGTTTCACTTTTCATTCCACAGAACATTTCAGAAAGATGGACCAGACCATGGATCAAGAACTCCAAACAGGAAAAATAAAACCAAGGATGTCCACCAGGTTGTGGGTTCAGAAGTTCTAGATCAGTTCCAGAATAGCAGATCTAAACAGTTCACAAAAAATAATGTTCTGATTCTGATCAGTGGAAGAAAAGTGTTTAAGTTCTCATGAAGAAAACATCTTCAGCCTCAGGTCAGTCTGGTGGAATTTCAACCTCAGGTCCATCTGGTGAACCTTAGCTTTAAATCCATCAGGTGGACCTTCAGCCTCAGATCCATCTGGCAGACTTTCAGTCTCAGGTCCATCTGGTGGACCTTTGAACTCAGGTCCATCTGGTGGAACTTAGAACTCAGGTTCATCTGGTGGACCTTCGTCCTCAGGTCCATCTGGGGAACTTCTTGGTAATGGCTCCTTATTTACAGTAATGGTATAAATTAAAACTTGAGTTTTGTTGTTTTCTCCTGCAGCTTGGATCCAATCCTGACTCACCTCCTGGATCATCCCGATGAACTCGGAGAAGGCCCAGTTCAACTGGTTCAGGACGCTGTTCAGGAACGAGGCCGCCATGTCTTTGTCCAGTCTCAGCAGCTCCGCCATGTGTCTCTGGAGCATCAAGGATGGACACGGCTCTGGACCAAACAGATGACAGGAAGTCAGGGAGGAAAAACACAATGAAAGGGAGAACAGAGACCGGACTCAGGAGGTCTAACTGTCAGGGACCAGTACAGGGACCAGACTCAGGAGGTCTAACTGTCAGGGACCAGTACAGGGACCAGACTCAGGAGGTCTAACTGTCAGTGACCAGTACAGGAACCAGACTCAGGAGGTC